GATCGCAGGGTCAGGTCCATTTTAAAACTCTGGAAGGCAGGCCTCCAACACTGTGCTTTTCTCCCCTCCCCAGGTCATCACACGTCTGCTGCTGTGACCTGTCACTGCATTTACCGCAGGCAACTTGGAGATGGTTCCTAGATGCAACTGCGTGAAATGCTCCTGTGTTGCCTGTTCAAGCCACTCGCCCACCACCTGGACAGGGTATTGCTTACATATATACACTTAGGCGTGCTCTTTAAAAAAGTACTTCTTTTCATTTCTGAAAAACTGAGTTGGTAGCCAATTGTTGTCTTTGCAGAGAGCAGTGCTCATAGTCTATTGTTGAGAGAAATCAGAACAAACTCACATATACTTCACAGGCTCTTCTCTGAGGAAGAGGCTGGAGGCAGCTGAAGGCGGCTGTTATGTGCCATAAAAATATTTCATAATCCCAAACTTCCTGTTGCAGCCAATTAGGCTATCAAATTACTCTCTGATTGTCGGCATACTCTAAATATTATCAATCTCTACTGACAAGTTAACCTATAACAGGAAATTCAACAGACAGTACAGTCTACATTACATTATCTTTATTACATAGATTTAGTTCTAACCAAGGTTTATATGAAGCCCAGTGACTCACCATCTATACAGTGGTATGGCTGATTTGGTTTACACACTTTGTTACTATGGGAGGAAGGAAGTTTACAGATTGTTGATTTGTGCTTTTCCACTGAAAACCTTAATTATGAAAATTACTAACTTCTCAAGTGAAGATAAGGACAAAAATGGACTGAAATGAAGTATCGATCTAGATGTGTCTGTAGGTCTTAAAGCTGACCTTATCCCACATCATAAACACGTACTGGAACCTTTCATTTCTTTCCCACAGAACATATTCCTTAAGGTTTCCTCACTGCACAAAACTAAGCTGTACATAAAATCTCAAGCTTTTCTGAAACATCAGTAATTATGAATTGTTTCTATAATAAACAAAATAGTAATATTGACATAGGTCTCAAATGCTACAGGAAGAAATGGAATAAAACAATGAAATGTACTGAGCACTATCTTCTAAATCTACTTGTGGTTTTAACATATTCTTTCCTATTGCCTTAGAAAACTATATTAGGAACCCCCGGAGACAGGGCAAGACACTGTAGGAATATGTTTGATATATAGTTGGATTAAATAACAACCTAATATATCAAACATATCACACAGAGGCCTGCAGAAAAGGCATCCAGGTTTGACTGGGCTTGAGCACAGGCACAGTACTGAAGGCCACCGCTGTGGGGGGTGTTCACCACTGCCCCAACTCCTTTACCTGTCTGTGCAGCACAGGTCTGCCTGCACCTGTGGAAACGGCTCCAGTAGCGATGTCGGAGGCACATGCACCAGAGCGCATCCACATTCTCATTTTGCCTCTATACCATCTTCCTAAGGCAACGGTGGATTCAGCGGTGCAAATTTGTTTGATATTCATGTCTGGGAGATTACAGGCAAAAAGAGGTGCTTGCATTTTAAGCCTCCGAGTTGGGACTATACCAGGAATCATCTTTGCAAACCATGGACAGTTCTACTTTTAAAATAGGTAATCTGAGAATGTGGTAAGCAAGAACAATTGAAACAAAAACATTGCCCGTCCCCAAAGCTATCCCTCAAAGCAGTGCAAAAGCTCCCCATGTATGGAAGGCAGGTATATTCACTGTGGACTAAGGTCCTGTGTGTTCGTGTATAGAGCTACAGGGATAGGGATGTAACAGTGATTGCTTATTCACAGTACCCTAAGGCTTTTTGTTTAATTTTTTAAGTTATGGAAAGGAATAGAGAAAATCATTTAACTTCACAACCAAGACTGCTTGATTTTGGTGTCAGACTGGGGATTTTTTTTTTTTAAACTGGGGAAGTAAATTTCTTTATAAAAGGAAAGTATTTTACTTCATGCAAATATTACCACAAAGCAGATGGCACTACCGAAATGGCACAAAAACCATGGTTTGGGGTGGACTGTTTCTTCAAATAACATAATCTGTTTCTTCAAATAACAAATAACTGTTTCTTCAAATAACATAATCCATGTGGTGGGCACTTTTGGTCAGTGGGCACAGAAAGACTTTGGATCACTTAAAGTACTCTAGATCTTTCAAGCACCCTTCCTACTATGAAGATGGGTCGACCAAAGTGGCTAACCCACATGGAGGGGATTCAGATCAACAGTTATGCTAACTTTGATCTTACTGAAGGATTCCTCAGCTTTCTGTAAGAAATTGCATTGCAAATACAAATGCTAATGTTCCCAGAGTGATCTGGGGAGTGCCCACTGGCCGGTTCCAGCAGTCATTGCTAACTTATCAAGAGTCATTATTTTTAAAATAGAGTGGGTCCACTCACTCTATTCCTAAAATTAAGGAAATTTTAAAGTATAGACTCCCCCAGCACCCCAATTTCACCAGGATTCCTGAATGTTCCCTTGTACTTGTCTCCTGATGCAAGTGTTTTTTGTGGAGTTTTTTGTAGTTATAGTGAGTATAGGATTCTGCACCCTGCTTGTTTTACTTCACATCATGTCCTGAACATCTTCTTCCTGCTACACTGTCCAATCAAAAATGCCCCTTCAAGGAGACACTCAGCCCCATCCAACTTCTTATGGCTACAGACAAAGCTGCAAGGAACAACCCTCTCTCTCACACAGAACTTTCCTCTCTGGATTTCCTCCTCAGGATAGACTCCCAGAGGAGGGATTAAAGGCTCAAATGTTCTGGACAAACCAAAAGCTCCCCCAGTGGGGCTACACCAGCTTGTCTGACACTGGGTGGGCCTAAAGGGACTGGAATGACCAAAACTTGCATACAGGGCCTGTGCACACACATGCGTGCACACACACTCACACACACACAGACACACACATAGCTCCTGGCTCGTCCAGGTTCTTTGCCCCTGACTACATCATCAGTCTCTGATTCTGCATCAGTAGAGCTGGGATGGTAGGTGACATGCTGCCTAATGGACTTGTGGTAAGGACCAGATGAGTCAATCCTTGCCACCATGCACCTAGAAGGCTAACACATGTTTGGCACTTGGTCACTGTGGATTTTTTACTCCTGTCATCAGCTCATGGCTCTGGAGTAATTTTCATTTCAGGTATTTCCCTATGAGGCAGTAGATAGAAGTCCCAGAAGCAAATAATTGCTGATGGTGATATAGTTGCTACTTACTCATTGTGGTCAGCCTCTGTGTTCTTAATTATTTCCCTTAATTGTAATAATAATCCTATGGGGTAGGGCCTCTGGTAACTTTATTTTTCAGAACAAGAATCATGAAAACAAACAGCTGGCATAGGAAACCAGGATTCAGAGACAGACAGAATTTAGAAGCACCCTGAAAAAGGACAAATGGGAAGGGACTGAATCAGGAGCTTTTAGAGAATAATGGGTGTTCACGTTAAATTGGCACCAGGCTAATTCTCCAAGAGAACTGAAAGTCAACTGACATGACTTCAGCCAATAGAAGGGCTCTCATAAGAGGTGACTTGTGGGACCTCCCCTGGTGGCGCAGCGGTTGAGCGCTGGGCTGCGATGCCTCTGCAGCGCCAGTTCGTCCCCGGCCGCTGGCGAGGGTCCCACAAAAAAAAAAAAAAAAAAAAAAAAGAGGTGACTTGTGGTAAATCAGATAAGAAACAGAAAAAACAAATTCAGCAGGAACCCTCTAAATCTTACTCCACAGTTACTTGTTTTTAAATTGAGCACATTTTTCATTCAGAATGAACTTAACTTACAAAGCAAAGATAAAAACAGAAAATGGACTTGCCCCTCTACCCACACCAAGGTCTTATGTTTGTTAAGAAAAACTTGAAGAATCTCAGACAACCTAAGACTATCAGGGTAGGACAGTAGAGAGAATCTTAAATATCCAAAAATTGTAAGTCAAATTCTTAAATTACCTCTGAATGAGAATTTTTTTTTTTAAAGAAAATCTTTTACTAAGTCTAGAATGACTAGTGGGAGATGGGTTCTAAGAATTTCATGGTTTTAAGATTGTTCCCAAGCTGATAGGGCTCATGACATGCTCAGGTACTGCTTTTGAGGGGTTCTGGTGTATTCTAGTACTCAGACTCCATTTTTTGGTCTTACAAAAAAGGCATACCTAAACTAGGGTTGATTCAGCATTTTTTGTTTTGTTTTGTTTTGAGGGGAAGGGCCAGATTTTACTTTCTAATGTACTTGGGTCCTTGGAAAGAAGTGAGCTTGCAGATACCAGTAGGGACTTGCTTGAATAGAAAGAAAAAGAGGCCTCCTCTGGTTGTACTATCTTCCCATTAAAGGCAGCCTAGGGGTGGGAAGTTACAGTTTCTTGACAGAATTGGGCTTTGCCCTTGGTCAGCACTAGCTCACCATCCTCTATTTAAAAGTTGTCTTCCCTGTTGCCCAACTGTAAGATGTCACTTTCTTTTAAATGCTATATTAACGTATACTCATGATCTTAAGTTCTAAACATCTATCTAGATGATAAACATAGATGCAAAAAATACACCAGATCATAAACTAAAAAGTCTGTCATGTGGTGGATTTTTGAGGTTCACCTTGCTATTTACCTGAAGAAAAGGAGAATTCCCAGTATTACCATTTCTCTGTTAAAAACAAAACAAAACAAAATCCAAACCAAAAAAAATGGAAACCAGAAAATTGGAGGGTGACAGTCTCAAATTTAGTAACAGGGATCTTCTATAAAGGAATCCAACACCTGCTTTATGTATAACTTACATATAATACAACTAAGTCAAGAGTGTAAGTGCCTAGATTCTTCCTCTGGATACACCCAAATGCATTTCTTTGGGTAGTTAACCTGAAAGACCCACCTGCTGAGATTTTTCACCTGTAAAAAGGTGCTGTGCAGTGGAGCTTGCTAGTCTAACCGTAGGGAAGGAGGCCAGCTCCCTGAAGCACACCGGGCTCTGTTTCACAGCCATCCACCCGAACCTTTAGATATCAGACAGGCAGCCACGCATGGACACTCACTTTTGGTTTTGCTCTTGGCTTCAGTTGCTCTAACTTCTTAGCAGCAGCCTCAATGGATGCTGCAGCCCCCAGTAATTCTGTTTCTGCAATGACGGTTGGGTCTTCTGGGTCCACCCACTCTGTTCCTAAAATCAGTCCAAAGAGGGTCATTCTTGGTACCTGTGGATCTTTGGGCACTGGCTTAGTTATAAACATCTGGATTTGCATGCAGGGGCGCACCACAGCCTACTAGTTGCATTGTCCTAAGGGATTTTTTTTTTCTAGCTCTCGCAGAGATCAGCCAGATACAGGGCGCACCTATCTGAATCTGGTTTTCTAAATGAGTTGTGTGTACAGTGCTACTACAGGAATGGTCACCAACCATAGTTTCAACAATCAAGATCTCACAGATAAGCACAGTTTGAGCCTCACTCTGACAGCTAACTGTCAGAGGCCCATGAATGTAACTGAGAATCCATAGGAGATTTGTGACTATGCTGAGCACACTGACCTGCCATTCTCTTCTCTAGGAACTCATGAAGAGCACCCGTTCACCTCAGTTCAAAGGGAAATCCATGAAAAAACCTTTCCCTGGTGATTTGATTGCTTCTTTGTGATCATGTGCAAACCATGTACCCAGAGAGCACTGTTTTATAGACATGAAGGCTATTCTCTGATTGAGCATAAATACTCTGATGAACAAAAATGGAGACAAAAATGGTGAGACACTTAAAAAGAGAAGTTCCAAATGGATTATGCCATTTAAGTAGAAGTACTTAATACAAAGACTGGAGAGAAGACACGATTCAGGAGGTAGCATTTTTAAAATCTAACTCTATTCCCATTTACAAAACAAGACAAAACAAAACAAAACAAAAACCAGCACTGTATTTTATTCCTTCTGATTCTTTTTGCCCAGAAAGGGCCTCTGTTGGCTGCTCAGATGGCTACACTAGCACTGCCTCAGAGAAGTGCCCCCATAGGATGACCCAAGAGAACCCAACCTACCTTTCATGGCTTCTGCTGCCTGGATGAGCTCAGTCACAGCGCTGGCCACTCGCTTGGAGAAAGCAGCCAGCTGGTGCTTCAGTTCTGGGGTTGGTTTCTGAAGAATCTATGGGTGAAGAACAAGTCAAATGTAAAAGGAAGAGGTAAACCATTGTGAGGGGAAGCACACTTTTACTTGTGGACACAGATGGGACATTCTGATTTCAAATCGCAACTCTGTCACCAAAGTGGCTTCAGAAACTTGGGGGAAAAACCTGTAAGATTCACTGACCTTTAGTTTTCCCATGTGAGAAATGAAAAATTGGGAACCAGGAGTTTCTCTAAGATCTGTTGTGACATATAGCTCTAAAGGTATATATACCTCATATATCACGAGGGAAACAAAGACTTTATTTCCCCTTTATCTGTACTTTTATTTGTACATAAAACAAATATACACATAGGAAATTATCCAGTGCGTGTAAGGATACTTTGGATATGAAAACTTGAGGCTACAGGCCAGCCAGGGCTTTTGACAAAAGAGAAATTGCACAGACAAAATTGTGACACAGGTGAGGTCTTGGAGATGAGCGCCCTAAGATAGCAACAAAAACTGATCATGATGTTCCTGAAAAAATAATCCCTTTCCAGGGTTATGATTGCAAGCTATCGTGGGAGAAGTTCTGAGGACTTTCTCTCTTTTGAATAGGTTCGAAAGTTTTCTTTTTAATTCATTTTCTGCCTTCTGTTTTTTATGATGTTATATAGGCTTATATGATGTTTCCTATTTAAGATACAGGAAATCCAATCCCTATTCCAACTTAAAGGACATTCCCAGACAATTTCTTCTCAAATTCATTCAAGAACGAACTAAGAAATGGCATGAGAGTGCCTCGTTATGATCTACCATGGACTGAAATTTTGAGTTACACCATCTTTCTCCTTCCTAATTTGGAAGTTCCTCTTCCAGCATTCTGTTCTGTGCCTCTGCCCTATGTTTCACAGTGGGCACCTTCAGACTACTGAACAGTAGAAATATTATGACATTTAAGAAGAAAGTCAAACTGCAGGTTCTTGATGGACAATTCTGGAGCCTCTATGAAGGGAATAAGGCATGGGCTTTGCACTTGAAAAAACCTCTGTTCAAACCTAGCTTCACATACCATTGGTTTGTAACACTGGGCAGATTACTGAGCCCCTCAGAACCTGTTTTCTTATTTGAAAAACTGGGATGATGGCTACCCTCAGGGCTGGCATAAAGATCAAATGCAGTAATACATGGGAAGTATCTGGCCTGGAACATAGTAGGTATTCATTAAATGTTGATTCCCAATTTGGTGTCCCACATCCTTTGTTCACCTGGCTAGGTATCGTACTGTTTCTCAAGAATCTGGAAAAGATGTCTTTTGGACCCCAGGTCTAACTATATTATACTGTAAGAGAAAGTTAATAAAAATATGTGGGATTGGGAGAGTTAATGGGGTGACACTCTGAAAGCCCTATACACACCAGTGCACAGAAGACATTATATTATACACTTGAACTGATTAGCCAGAGATTTTAAACATAACTTCACATGCATCTATCCTGATCCTCCTCCTCCTTACAATCTTTTAAAGTGATTTAATATTTGCTACTGTTCTACGTTTTTAGCTGTTCTATTATTCTCATTCTTTTACCCTAGGACCTACACTTATTAATATGCAGATATTAAGAACTCAGAACAGATCTGTAAATCTCTAATGAGCAAACAAATGAATGGATGAGTGAAAACCAGATTAAATACACTGTTTAAACAAGTCCTGATAACACAGCTTCCTGGAGTAGTTTTAAAAGAGCACTGGAACCATGGAGAGGTGGGGGGAGGGGATACTGGTCCTCACTTTTTTTTTTTTTTTTAAGATTTATTTATTTATTTATATAAGCACTGGGTACAGTGGTACACTCAGAAGCGCGGGAGGGTGAGAGAATTCACCAGAGCCAGAGCAGGGAGCAGAACAGGCAGACTGATGAAGCACACTGCTGAGGGGAGCAGCAGGCGCAACAGGAGAGGTCTGCGTACCATGTGGGACCCTCGCCTGTGGCTGGGGATCGAACCAGTGCTGCAGAGGCTGCAGGCAGCTTTGCAGCCCAGAGCTCAACCGCTGTGCCACTGGGGAGGCCCGGTCCTCATTTTTTAAATGTAGGTTCCAGAGTGAATATACCTGTGTAACACTGGTACATTTTATTTTTTCTTTAAGTCTCTCATTTATCTATTAAGTGGGCAAAATAACAGTCCTCACATTAGGGAGCTATAGTAACATTATATAAATTACTATGTAATTTAAAATAATGTATCATTCTATAAGAGCTACTGATAGAACTGGTCTGCTGTAGTGTGGACATCAGAATTTTTATAAGTTCCCCAGGTGATTCTTATTTGCAGCCAAAATTGTAAGCCATTGCCTTAGACTCAAATGGTGATATTTGCTACCACTCAGTTGAAAAAGGCTTGTACCACATTTGTATGAAACAATATATAAGACCAGTATATAATAGTTATAGCTTATGCTCTGAATAGCTCAGTGGTCCATAGGCATGGTTAAATGATTTCTCTCTTTTTTTTTTTTTTGGTGGGACCCTTGCTGGTGGCCGGGGATCGAACTGGCGCTGCAGAGGCTGCGGGCAGCCTTGCAACCCAGCGTTCAACCGCTGCACCACCAGAGGAGGCCCCTGATTTCTCTATAGTTGGCAACACAACATGAATAAGCAAAGCATTAAAGGTGTGGTAGGAAAAATCATATTCAGGGATGAAAGATTGAATGTTTTCCTCCTAATATCAAGAATAAGGTAAGGATGTCTATTCTCACACTTTTATGAATATTATACTGGAATTCCTTGCCAGTTCAATAAGGCAAGAAAAAGAAATAAATGACCACACAGATGGAAAGGTGAAAGTACAATAGTCTGTTCACATACAGTCTGAATGTCAATGTAAAAAATTCTATGGCATCTGTGAAAAAAAAAAAAAAACCTTCTAGAATTAGTAAGTGAGTTCAGCAGGGTCACAGGACATAAGGTCAATATACAATGATAAATTATGTGTATATAATAGTAATAAAAAATTAGGAATTGAAATCTCACTTATAACAGGATAAAACATTAAGAAATACTTAGGGTTAAATCTGACAAGAGATGGGCAAGACCTGAATGCTAGGAACTGTAAACATTTTATTGAAAATATTAAAGAAGACCTAGGTAAATGGAGATTTATAGCAGCTCATGGATTAGAAGACTCTTAAAATATCAATTATCCCCAAACCTCCCTACCATCCCAATCAAAATTATAAGTGTTTTTTTTTTCATTTTTTAAAAGAAACAGGCAAGATGATTCTAAAATGCAGATTCTAAATTAACAATCTAGTTTATTGCGGCACTATTTATAATAGGTAAGGTATAGAAACAACCCAAATGCCCAAAAACAGATGACTGGATCAAGAAGATGTGGTACATATACACAATGGAATATTACTCAGCAATCAAAAAAGATAAACACATGCCATTTGCAGCAACATGGATGGAGTTGGAAGGGCTCCAACTCCATCATATAAGCCAGAAAGAAAAAGAAAAATACCGGATGGTCTCACTTATAGCAGGAATATAGAGGATCCAAATAAGGAAAAAAAAAAACCTAATTATAGTAAAGTAAAAATCAAAATCAACAGGCAACTATAAATCAGAGACATATTATGGGGAAGAGAAGGGAGGAGGATCAAAACAAGGGTGGGAAGAGCACAAGGGACCATGGTGATAGTTCACAGGTGAATGAGTAGTGGGAATTTTACGGGGACTATAACCAAGATGAAAATGCATACATTGTACAAAAATGAAAAATGATGTAAAAATATATAAAATAATTAAAAATTAAAAATTAATGATCTAGGGCCTCCCCTGGTGGCGCAGCTATTGAGCGCTGGGCAGCCTCTGCAGTTCGTTCCCTGGCCGCCAGCGAGGGTCCCACCAAAAAAAAAAAAAAAAAAAAAGAAGAAAGAAAATTAATGATCTCGAATAGCTAAAGCCATTGTGAAGAAGAACAAAGTTGATTTCAATACTCATTATAAAGTTGTAGTAGTAATAAAGATAATATTGGTACACAGACATAGATCATTAGAGCATAAGAGAATCCAAAACTAAATTCACACCTATGGTTAACTAGTTTTCAGTAAAAGTGCTAAGGAACCTTTAATTTAATGGGGACAGGATACTTTTTTCAATGAACGGTGCTAGACAATTGGAATTACATGTGAGGGAATGAAATTTGACCCTTTCCCCTTCCTATATGCATAAATTAACTAGAAGTAGAGTAAGCTAAATATAAGAAGTGGAGTACACTAAATATAAGAATTAAGACTATATAGAAGAAAACTGGAAAATAAACTTAATAATCTTAGATCTGGTAAAGTGTCTTAAATAGAGAAAAGCATAAATTATAGTCTAAAACTTTAAAAAGCATACTTAAAAGTTTATGCTTTCAGACCTTTAAAAACATTATGCTAAGCGAAAGATACACACACACACACACACACACACCCCACCCCCACATATTGTATCATTTCATTTGTATGAAAAGTAGAGAGTAGGAAAATCTATATGTAGAGAGGAGGGATTAGTATTTACCTAGGGCTTAGAAGAAGGAGAGGCTGTCAAAGGACATGAACTTTCTTTTCAGCGGAGGATGAACATTAACTAAAGGCATATTACTTGTATACTATGTACATATACATAGTAAAAAAACAGTGAATTATATACCTTACAAGGGTGAATTTTCCCATATGCCAATTTTATCTCCACAAAGCTGTTAAAAAGAAGAGTATTGGGTGCGCAGTCCTCTCCTGCCGTGCCCACTGCTCCCCTGAGCAGTGTACTTCATCAGTCTGCCTCTTCTGCTTCCCGCTCTGGCTCTGGTGAATTCTCTCACCCTCCCGCGCTTCTGACTGTACCCAGTGCTTGTATAAATAAGTAAATAATCTTAAAAAAAAATGAGAATGGGGCGTTTGCAATTGTATGGGGGAATATAAAAATAAAATTTATTATTTAAAAAAAAATTTAAAAATTTGTAAAAATATAAAAACAAAAAGTAATAAAACA